AGTAGCACGTTTGTTCTAAAGAAAAATAATCCTGTCTTTTTATAGACACCTTTTGCAGTTCAACCCTTATTCCAGATACCATTAATTAACATAACTTGAATCTACACAGCATGTGAATGATTTTATGAATTAAATTAGGAAATATCGAACAGTTTCAAGCTCAAAAGTCCATTCCAGTAATAAAAATCAGGAGCATAGGAAATTCAATGTAAAAAATAATGGCCGAACAATTTGTATGAAAAACGTCAGTTAGCCTTTGACTAAATGGAAGATTGTATTTCCTGACAAGGTCATTCAATTGACCATATAATTTGCGAAATGTTGACTTTAAATGAGACTGCTGACTGCTGTTGTTTCATTAACTTATTTATCAATAGCTTGCCACGTTTTATAATTGTTCGACGTAGACCATGCTCTTGGGTATCGAATCAACTGGGAGACATTAACTCCATATGCAGGTGATGATGGTTTATTGCTTCATAAATAAGGGAAGTTGACGATGGTAAAGTTGAGGTCATCACATCTATCGTACAAATATGAAACTGAATTGTCAGACTCTATGGTATCTTTTATTTCGAGTTGAAAGGGATGTATATGTATAAACGTAGCAATGAATAAATAAAAAGTAGAAGGTCCGAAACTATTGAAACATTCAATTCACACACACACCCTCACACACACACACACACACACACACACACACACACATATATATATATATATATATATATATATATATATATATATATATATATATATATATATATATATATATATATATATATATATATATATATATATATATATATATATATATATATATATATATATATATATATATATACCTTTTGTGACGTAACAGAAACAAAAATGCTGAAATTGACCAGAATGCATTCAAAGAAATTACTTATTTTTGCAGTATACATGTGTATATTCAACACCTCTTCACTATATTACTTTCTGATACATTAAAAGTTAAAGTAAATCCTATTCTAGTAAGGAATATGGGTTATATGACATGGGTTATATTTCATTCTTCCCAAACATATGTTAAAAATAAATGTTAGTAGACTATGTTGTTCGATCACAAGAAGGTGATTTAACCTATGACGCGTAGGTATATTTATATAACTATTACCTCAAGAGAACATTTGAAAAGAAAAAATAATGTAATTGTGGATAAGGAAGATTGCATGTTTACTCTCTCATTTTAAATGAATTGTCCTCTGAAATTTTAAACCTTATCATGATAACTGATCTTGGGCGTAATACATTTTACATATATCAATATATTGAATGGAAATTATTTTTAAATTCCTGCTTCAAGGTCACTATCTTTTACGTCGCGATAAATAGATAACAAAGTGAAATGGCTACATAAGTTCAATATTTTCAAGAATTTTTGACAATGAAAAACGGGCAATATATAAATGCTTAACACATGCTCAGTTATACAAATTTCAGCATGAAAAAAAAGATATTGAACAGTAATCAAGCTCAAAATTCCATTGAAACAATCACATTTGGAGCATAGGTGCCATGGAGGAGCAAGCATCCCCTGTCGACCGGTCACACCCGCCGTGTGCTCCTTATCATGATCTGTCAAACGAAAACATCCATGGACAATTCATTGTGAAAATAATGGCCTTACAATAAGTATGAAAAACATCAGTCAGTATGCGACTTTACGATAGATTATTTTTACTGAAAGGTCATAAAATCGACCATAGAATTTGCGAAATGTTGACTTTAAATGAGACTGTTGATATTCTTGTTTCATCAACTCGTTGTTTGTCAATAGATTCATTTTAGAAATTGTTCGTACGTAGAGCATATTGAATCAACTGGGAGAGATAAACGCTATATGCAGGTGATAATGTTTTATTGCTACATAAATAAGGGAAGTTGACGATAGAAAAGTTGAAGTCATTAATTAATCCATTTAATCTGTTTAAATACACTATTGAAGAGAATTCCTTTGAATCAGACATACGATAATTATACTTTTTATGTGTGTTGCTTCTTTTCAGATAGCTAAAGACACTAAAGTTTTATTTAATGCATAAATGAAATATGAAAATAACAAACAGTTGTTAATCTCAACATTCCACTGGAACACTACAAATTTTAGCCGAGCAAATACGGACCTCTAAAAACATCAGAAGAGGGATCAGGTGCCATGGAGGAAGCATAAAATATCTCTTTGAAATATGATTTCATTATTGAAAAACTAATATAGGCTCTTTTTCATAAGAAAATGAAAAAGATGTCTTGGTTGCAAATAAAAGATTTTAGAGATTACAATTTGCTTTAATAAATTATCATGATATATTGCCTGATTTACAGAAAAAGAGCAAAATGATATTGTAGATTAAAATATTCCTGGTCAAACTAGGAACAATTTTTTCATATCCTTACTCAATTCTTTATGTCTTTATGGACTCTCTCTCTCTCTCTCTCTCTCTCTCTCTCTCTCCTAAGGACCAAGTAACTTTTCTTCAAACAATATATTGGCGACAAAATGTGCAAATGTTCACAGTACATATTGTTGCCGACGACAATATGTGCCGATGAGTGACTGCACATTTTTTCGTCCATTCTGCAGGAGGAAAAATGGCGCGTCTTCGCAAACAGTCTGGAAGTCCATTCAAACAATGCAAATCAGGAGCAGAGCAAACATGGACCTCAAAAACATCAGAGGTGGGATCAGGTTCATTCATGCATGGAGGAGTGAGCATCCCCTGCCGACCGGTCACACTCGCAGTGTGCTCCTTGTCATGATCAGGAAAAAAAAACAGAAAAATTCGTAGACAATTCAGTGTATAAATAATGGTTAACAGTTAGTATGAATAACGTTGATCAGCATTCGACCTAAGGATAGATTGTATTACGAAGCACTGTTAAGCATCCTATGGAGAAATCAACATATATAAGTGCACAAATAAACACCTTTTTAAACTGAATTCTTTTTTGCAAAGCTATTATTTCATCACATAAAATTAATGCTAATTGCATTAACATAGTAAAACCTCACTCCATAGAGAATCTTGGTCACCTTATTTGACAGTCACGTGATAAATGCATATAATGTGTTCTGCATGAAGATCATAAACAAATTTCAATATCGCAAGGGCATACCCTCATTAAAAGTAAAAATTTAATTTATAAATTGTTTCTATACATCTTTCTGTAAAGTGCTGCTGCTTTTAACTAAAAGTTTAAATCTCCACCTGAAAAATGCACTTTACCAAGTAAATTTTGTGCTTATTGAATACGGTTCTCGATTCACTAACGCAGCAGTACTTTTCAATTTAAGGAACGCGTCTTCTATCTATATTTTAAAAATGGCCAAGATCTATTAAGTGTATGCCCTTGTACTAGGGCGATTTATCGAGGCACCTCGATATTGAACGTGCCTTTCCTTTGAACAAAACACGGGATAAAAAAATACAATACATTTCCCGATGGAAAAAAATATTAATGATATTTAATTAACCTTACACATAGGAAATAATTGTCTATTAAATGTTTGTAGATAATTTTCTTTTTAATAATAAAATGCATTTCTCATTGTGAAAATATTATTTGATCTACCACTCACTGCACATAAAATGCGTCAAATTTTACCATGATGACGTCATGTCGACAAGTACATTGCGATCAGTGACCTGTTCATATGATGCTGTGTGGAATTAATATTTGACTTGCGACAAAAATAAATCCAGTAGTACGTTTTGATGTAGTTTAATACTATTATACAGTTTAAACTCGCAAATTATTTCATTTTATGGTATTATAAAGAATTGATATTTTGCGTAATGTCACAGTAAGCATTTCCCGTAAAAATTAGAAAACGCCTCCTTTATGTAGCCTTAACTGTGCTGCGTTGTTGACAAGGCCATTGTACCGACCATAGAACTTGCGAAATGATGAGTTTAAACGAGACTGGTGATATTCTTGTTTCATCAACTTGTTTGTTAATAGCTTGTATCCTTTTAGATATTTTTCGTTCGTAGAGCATGCCTTTGACTATAGCATCAACTGGGAGACAAAAATAGGCAGGTGGTGAGGGTATATTGCTACATAAGTAAGGGAAGTTGACGATTGAAAAATTTAAGTCATCGCGTTTAATATATTGCTTGGTTGTTGGGTTACCACTGTGAAAAATCCTCGAATGGAACATTAAATATACATTCAATTAATCAATATATTTAGTTAACTGAACCTTTGATTTAAAAAAAACTAATATGATTGTCAATAAGAAAGATTCAATGTTTATTTTCTCCCCCATCATTTAAAATGAATTTTCCGCTATATTTAGATCCCTGTCATGGTTTCTTATCTTGGGCGTATTTCATTTTACATATATACCAATGTTTTGAATGAGAATACATATTTAAATGCCTGTTTCAAGGTTATTTTATGTAACTTCGCAATTAAAAGGAATAACAAAGAAAACAACAATGGTATTTTCTTCTTTATATTAGTTGGGTTTATTTGTGTAGGGAAATGAATGATCTGTCGATAAATGTGTCCAAATGTAATATGAATACTTCGAGAATCTTTAATGATTTTGTAGTGTAGCTTAGCATTCAGCTGACCAAATAACTGCTCTATCTTCTAGTCAACGAATCCATTATTCAATACATTATATTATATGACAATTTCTTGCACAATATGAAAAAGGTGAAGACAACGAACAGTAATCGATTTCAAAAAAACATCTTCAGACAATACAAATCTATGAACAGGGCATACAACACGGACAATACGGACCCCCGGACATTCCAGAGGTTGGGTCAGATGTCTAGGAGTATGCATCCCCTGTCGAGAGGTCTTGATCAGGTATACAAAATATACGAAATGCTTGAATTGCTAGCAGTATTCGAAAATTGTCAAAATTGTTTATATAAAAAAAAAACTAAGATTGTGATTTTATATTGATTTTACCTAACAAAGACTGCTACAGGTTGCTTAGATCATTAATATAATATACTTACCTCTGGAAATTGAAATACTTTTAAGTCGCAGAAGGAACAAACAGGATATTATCCAAGACCTGTTTAGCAGGTTTCCCTATAACCTTTAAAATTCAATGTAGGTATAACTTCCTTCTCCTATTCTGTGGTGTAAAAATCGAAACTGAATGGCATAATCCATATCAATTTTCCATCTTTAAAAGTGCATTATTCTAAAGTCTAAAATTTCTCAGATATTACAGGATTGAAGTTATGTTGCACACCTGGCTAGACATATTACGAGACACCTTGAATAAATGCCTTGCCCAGCATTGAAAAACAGAAAGTTATGTAATAATCGATTGACCTAGATTCATACTTTCGATCCGCGAGCTTTTTCTGATGCAGAAAAATAAACTGTTTCGGAGTGTACGAATCTTTATAAAAACGATTTTTTGCATTTATGATTTAATTTTCTTGCAAGGACTTGCTTAAACAATTAAGACAGTAAAAACATTTTTCAGGCTATATTACATTGGAAACTTTTCTTGAATACTTTTGGGTGTTGGAAAATGTAGCAAAAAAATTCAACATTAAATACCAGTAAAATGGCTACATCTGTTCAAAATTTTCAAGACTTCTTGATAATGAAAAACGAGTTATATAATTACATAAATGCTCAACACATGCTCAAGTATACAACTTTCAGCATATCATCAATTAATACGTTAACTCTGACAATTGTTTAATTACACTTTTGGGGAGAATACCTTTGAATCGTATGACAAGCAAACTGATAATAGATCAGATGTTAATAATACTTTATCTGCATGTTGCTCGTTTTCAGGTATATTAAAACACCGAAGTTTTATTCAATGCATAAGTGACATATGAGGATAAGGAACAGTAACCATGCTAAAAGTCCAATCAAACAACAACAAACAATGTAAGCAAGCAAAAAACAGACCTCTGAAAACGGAGGATTTCCAAAATCTTAAATATAAAAAAATTGAAGACGTTTTTGTTTATCTTTCAAATTCTTCTTTGAAATGCTTCTCGTTTCTGTTCCTTTACAATTTTAGTTAATTCAATTTCAAAAAATTAAAGTCCAGACTTTCTGACATCGTTGACATCTGCTTTTTCAATAACAATGGAACTCGTAAATTTACTTATCTTGTCATTGGTCATTAGCAAAATTACTTTGTTAAAAGTAATCTGCTTGTACACAGAAGTACTCTGAAGTTGACATTAAAAAGATGCTCCAGTTTCTTATTGACAATATCTTTGTGGTTTTTGGAGAGGAGGTCTTCCAACATTCTATTGGAATTCCCATGGGTACCATTGCGCCCCGTTATTAGCATACCTATTTTTGTATTCATATGAAGCACAATTTGTTCAAAATCTTTTACGTGAAAAGAAAAAAAAAACACTTGCTGTGGCCTTCAACTCGACATTTAGATATATCGACAACGTATTGTCAATAAACGATGGTTATTTCCGTTCTTATGTCGACATGATATATCCCGGTGAGTTTGAGATAAAAGATACCACAGCCTTTGACACATCTGTTTCATATTTGGATATTTTATCAGAAAAAAGACGTTAATGGTAATCTAACAACAAAGCTTCATGATAAACGTGATGACTATAACTTTTCAATCGTCAACTTCCCTCCCCCATGCAGCAATATACCCTTATCACCTGCATACGGGGTTCATATCTCTCAGTTTATTCGATACACCAGAGCATGCTCTACGTATGACCGATATCTAAAACGATTTAAGTTATTGATAAACAAGTTGATGAAACAAGAATATCAGCAGTCTCGTTTAAAGTCATCATTTCGTAAGTTCTCTGGTGAATACAATGACCTTGTCAGCAAATACAATCTATCATTAAGTCAAATGCTGACTGACGTTTTTCATACTAATTGTTAGGCCATTATTTACACACTGAATTGTCGACGGATTTTTCCGTTATTTCCCGATCATAACAAGGAGCACACCGTGGGTGTGCCGGACGGCAGGGTATGCTCACTCCTTCATGGCACCTGATCCCATCTCTGATGTCTTAGAGATCCGTGTTTGCTCTGCTCCTATTTTGTAATGTTTAGTGGACTTTTGAGCTCGAATACTGTTTGTTATCTCCACATGTTTCATTCCTTGGGTTGAATATTGGGATTACACTAAATGCAAATCAAACTTTCGCAAACTAGTTTTTAATTTCACGTAAACCGTTGCAGATGTTTCACAAACGGCCCCTCTCTCATAGGTGCCGGATTCTCTAAAAGCTTTATAAAATAAGGCAATACGTTTGTATCAACATGTCGGTTAATATTTAAAGAAAAGTTTCGTCATAATCGGGTGAAAAGTTTCCAAGAAATTTGCAGAAAAAAAAGTTCCAGAAAGGTAAACACAATATGTTACCAAACTTCTTTTGGGAAACCTAGTAACACTAAATCAAGAGTATCATTTTAATTTTCATGAACACGCTCAAGGTACTAATTCATCGTTTTTTGTTTTGTTTTTTTTTTTTTTTGTTTTCTTGTTTTTGTTTTGTTTTTTTCTTTTGCCTCCGTCAGGACACTGCCTTTTCCAATAGGAAATGGCCAGACAGGCCGAGAAAAATGATTATGAAAAATTAAAAAAAATAAACATAGTAATGGTTGATAAGGAAGATCGGTGATTGTTTATTCTCTCCGTTGATTTAAAATGAATTTTCTTTTTACAGTGAAAACTATTTCATGATATCTGATCGGTTTTATTTTACATATATTTATGTATTGACTGGAAATCTTTCCCTTTAAATGCTACCTTCAAGGCCAGTTCTTGTTACGTCGGAACACCTCTGTGAACAAAGGACCAGAAATAGCTATGTTGTGCTTTGTATTAGCTGGTTTCTTGTAAAGAATAAAAAAAACTTTAAACTAGAACAATATATCTAGAGGATTTTCAGAAATACTGCAATTGATCAAAATTATTGCCTGTCATCTATGTATTTAAAGCATCATAAAATATAATAATCTTATGTATAATGTGTACAATCTTATACGATGTAAACTTCCCTTAATATTTATCTGAAATGTTAAAATTGCTAGCAGTATGGTATCTAAAATATCCCCAGATATTTATCGTAATACACTTACCTGTGAAATTCGAAATGCTTCAAAAACGCAGAAAGAGCACAGAAAAGAGTTCAGTACCTGTTCTGCGGGTTTTCAAATAACCTTAATTATGCAATATAAGAGTAACTTCCTTCTCCAAATCACTTTAAAACTCCAAATTTAATTTGAATGACGTAATAAATCTATTTTTTTCATTGTGTATAATGAATTATTTTTAGAGTCTGAAATTCCTTAAAGAAGATTGGGTTGCTGTAGATATAAGCAGAAGTACATGTAATGGTGCACCAGTGAGTGACACATATAACGATACACCCAGAATAAATCCTTTGTTCATTATTGACAAACAACAACTGTTATGTAATGGTCGATTAACCTAGATAAAGTTTGAGATTAATTTCTTAAGCAGAAAAAATGAACTGCTTCGGAGTAGATTAAATTTTTACAATTACGTCATCTCTATATGTATTTTTATGCATTAATTATATTTTGATACATCTTGAATTTTCTTGCAAGGACTAGTTCAAACAATGCAGTCTGTCATTGAAGGCATTTTGTTAGGCATGCGCTGTTACAATTCGCCTCCATTATCATTAAGCGCCGAGAAGTAAGAACGATAGCGTTGTTCTGCCGCCAATCTTTAAGTCCATTTTTCAACGTAAACATATCTGAATGATTTTTTTCATATTTACATAAAGATTTAAATAAATTCAAATATTAATAGAAATGATTTTTCACAAAACATAACTTATTTGGAAAAAAGAGCGATAACTCTACAATTTCCATAAAACGTTTTTTTTTTTCACTATAGAAATCAATGGAAAACAGAAAATGCTTAAAAAACACATTCATCCTCTAGCTACCGCCGTGAAACAATACATCCTTTTTACAGAAATACATTTTTTTCTTGAACATCGCTGTTGAATCTTCCTCTCAATGCTCTTTACTCTCATAGATCCTTGTAGTTCCTTTACAGTTTTTCTAACATTTCTTACAAATAATTTGGTGATCCAAGGCATCAAAAATCTCGTTTAATTTAATTTTTTTTTTTTTTTTTTTTTTTTTTTTTTTTTTTTTTTTTTTTTTTTTGCAAATTATATGGTAGATACCGTAAAAAGGATATAGAAGCAAATGCCGTAGCTATTTTTAGTAATTTACATAAATTAAAGTTTGTTAAAGTTTGTCAGGTGTGCTGATTTATTTTCATCAGTTTAATACCTTAAAGAAGATATCAGCTGTTCACTTATCACGGTTGGCCTTGCTTTTGTCATTCCTGACAAAAAAAGGGAAAAAATCTGTAGACAATTCAGTGTGTAAATAATGGCCTAACAATTTGTATGAAAAAAAAAACGTCAGTCAGCGTTTGACTTAATGATGGTTTGTATTTGCTGACAAGGTCATTGTATCAACCATAGAACTTCCGAAATGATGACTTCAAATGATACTGTTGATATCCTTGTTCTTTTAACTTGTTTTCAATAGCTTGCCTCGAATTAGAAAATGTTCAATCGTAGAGCATGTTCTTGAGTATCGAATCAGTTGGAAGACAAACCCCCATATGCATGTGATAAAGGTATTTTGCTACATACATGTAAGTAAGGGTTTGTTTGTTTATTGTTTAACGTCCCTCTCAAGAATTTTTCACTCATATGAAGACGCCACCACTTGCCGGTGGAGAGCTACAAATTTTGACCTATACTCGGCACTTAGGGCCATTGAGCAGTGAGGGATCTTTTTCGTGCCAGCACCTACTGCGACACGGGACCTCGGTTTATACGGTCTCATCCAACGGACCGGTCTCCACGTCCCACCCGCGCCATAAGGATCAACTCCTTACTCTGTGACTCTAGAGCAGCGCTCTAACCACTGCGCCACGCGGGCGACTGTAAGTAAGGGAATTTGACTATTTGAAAAATTGAAGTCATCATGTTTTTTTTTCATAAAGCTTTGTTGTTAGGTTACCATTAAAGTTTTTTCTTGTAAAATATCCAAAATATGATAAAGAGATGTGTCAGACTATGTGGTACCTTTTGTTTCAAGCTCACTTAAACGAAGAGAACACTTGCTGTGGCTTTCCATTCGACATTCAGATATATCGACAACGTATTATCAATTAACAATACTTACTTTCATTTATATGTCGACTTGATATATCCAAGTGAACTTGAAATAAAAGATACTACAGAGATTAACACATCTGACTCTTATCTGGATATTCTACTAGAAAAAAGACGTTAATTGTAATCTAACAACAAAACTTTACGATAAACGTGATAACTTCACCTTTTCTATCATCAACTTCCCTTACTCATGTACTGTAGTAATATACCCTTATCACCTGCATACGGTGTTTATATCTTCCAGTTGAATCGACACGCAAGAGCATGCTCCACGTACGAAAAATTTCTAAAACGAGGCAAGCTACTGACAAATAAGTTCCTGAAACAAGGATATTAACAGTCTCATTTAAATTCATCATTTCGCAAGTTTGCAAGGTCGACACAATAACTCTGTCAAAAAATATAATCTATCAATAAGTCGAATGCTGACTGACGTTTTCATACTAATTGTTAGGGTATTATTTAAACAGTGAATTGTTAATGGGTTTTTTTTTTTTCGTTCGCCCGATTATGACAATATAATGAGCACACGGCTGGTTTGACATGTCGACAGGGGATGCTTACTCCACCCTGGCACCCGAACCCACCTAGAGCTGATTTTTCTCAGAGGTCCGTGTTTGCTCTGCTATTGATTTGTATAATTTTTTCAATGGACATTTGAGTTTTTCTTACTGTTCGTTATCTCTATATTTCTTTAATATCATTGTGAAAAATTCTGTTAAAAATAAATAATACATGTATACGTATTTAGTATTGTTTTTACTGGAAACACTTTATAAATTCATTTTCATTAATCTATAATGGATGAAAAAATTTGTTTAACAATTGTCTTATTAAAATGTTTAAATTGTTATAACTTTTTAATGCTAAAAATGCTGAAAATGTGAACGAATTATGCAATTAAGGTGTATTTATCTACTTTGGCTTAAAAATTAGAAAAGGTTTGTCAAATTCAGAATTTAATTGTATAGATGATATTGTACACTGTTATTACATTCTCCTGTTAACCTACTTGTACATGTATATCTGCATTTACTTGTACTGGTGAGTTAATAAAGTTATAAAGAACTCAAACTAACACTGAAAATTACAGGACATCAGCTTTGTGTTTTCTTTTTTAATTTAATTGTATTTCAACATGAAAAGTGATCTTATGGGAAAGGAATAATATTATATAATCAGGTGTCCTGAATATAACTAAATGTCTTAAAATAATATATATCATAGAATAGCAATCTCTGGATTATAGAAGGAGAAACACATGAAGAACAAATTGACGAGGATTACAGCACGCATCTTTTGTTGTCAGTTAGATCTGCTCAGAAGAGTGAGTTAACTCTCTGTTTTTCTCGATGACTACAATGATTAACAAAGATTTCGAAGACAGATAAAATGGTACATACAGTCTGTAAAACAAGAAAAAAAATATCACTAAAATATTATATCTAAAAACGAACATTTACAAACATACGTGCAAATAAAGTTTTTTTTGTGTGTTTTTTTTTTTTTTTCACTTCAATGAACCATAAAAATAATTAATGCTGGTATGAGTTCTTATGTGTTTTTTAAACAACAAGTTAACAATCTTTGCTGCATTGATTAGAGAACTTTTTTCTTCACTGTAAACTACTTTCCACTAGAACAAGACATGTTATTAACTAAGTATTCAAGATTCAATTTTACCATTATCAGTACAACACGGATCCCTTCACTAAGAACATGATCTATATCCACGTCTCTCTGACTTCCCTCCTCCGCCATCTTCTCTTTTATAGCATCAAAACAACCCTTAATATAATTATACATTTTTTACTTTAACGTGAAAGAATGCATTTGAATCTCTCTCTCTCTCTCTCTCTCTCTCTCTCTCTCTCTCTCTCTCTCGTGTGTGTGTTTGTGTACCTGTGTATTAAATCCACTGGTGACGGTACTGTGACAAGAATTCGGGGCTGACTGGTAGTTGTCCCTCGTTGCACCAGTACAACATGCTTTAGGGATCTGAGAATTAGTCTGCTGACATTCCCCTGACATTGTACACCATGGGCTTGTATCAAAATCATTTGTAGTTCCTATTACTGGATTCACGGCACAACATTTGTACTTAAGCAAAGAAAGCAAAGATTACATTACTCATGAAAACTTGTACACATGAAGGGTGTCATTCAAACTAATTGTTTCATATTTTTAAAACTTTAATGATAATGTAACTGATTTAATGAGTGCTAAGGAACAAGACAGCAGGAGTTTTACTTTAGTTTAAAGCCATGCATATATTTATTAGTCAGTTCCAAAAACTAATTCTTATGCTTCCAGATAAATGCTACACTGTCTTTCAAAAGTTTAAAATTGTATAGAAGTAGATACAAACTAGAAATATGTCCTTGGGACATGAATACTTTTCCTGAGGTACATTTGTATTGAAACATTAAAAGAAATGAACCTTTCTTCTTTTGTCACAGATAAAAGTAAAATATGATGAAAATAGGAATAAATCTTATATATTTTATTTTATTGAAAAATACGGATATAAATTTAATTTTTGTGGTAAAATTTTCAAAATTTATTTCTAAATTAAGGATTGTCTTCCTCATGCATAGCTCTAATCCTTCAACGTATTTGGCTCTAGTCTTTGGCACCTTTTTCAGCTCTTCCAAGTCTTTTTTATTCAAATATTTTGGATTTCCAACGTTTCGGCTTGAGCATCACTGAAGAGACATAATTTGTCGAAATACGCATCTGGTGCATCAAAACCGGTACCGTATATGATTTACATTTTACATACAGCAATGATACCCTCGGTGAATTTGCAGTCCTTTACAGGAGTATGTAGTATTGATTCATCCCATCTATCATCTACAGCTCAATGAAGACTCATTGTTTCAAGTCCATTCTCTCATAGGGAGCATTTTTTATATGTGTTCTCTTAGAACGCAGGGTAAAAATGTTCTTACAGAGATATTCGGTGTACGATGTTTTACGAAGTAATACTTAGTGAAATCATGTAAGATGAACTAAATGAAAAATGAGAGAAAAGGTAAATTCAACGTCATAGGTCAAGGTAAAATAAAATATAACGCTCTTCAATCATACTCACAAGTTCCTTTCCTTACACCTTACTTGGTGGAAATATTTTGAACAAAATATTATGACAATTATGATCAAATGTTCTTACCAATATGTAAATTTATATATATGAAGTTTGATTTAAGTATCTAGAAAAGTAAAGGTAAGGTCAAAAGGAGGTTAAGGTCACAAAATTATGACACAGATAGCTCTCGCCAATCTATATTAGTATACGAATTCGAAGTTTGATGTTCTGAAATTTGCTTTACGCGAATAAATTAATATTGAGTAATACTGACTTCAAGATCATATGAAAGACAAGCCAAAAGATTTGGATACAGTTAAAAAGCGCTCGCCAATTCGTATATCTTCATGAAAATATCTTGAGCAATTTCATAGAAGCTATTCTATATTTCATAGAAGCTAAGTTAAAGCAATGTTCACTTTGAAACTGAGTTTAACGAAATACTGAGCCCAAGATCAAAAGAAAGGTCAAGGTCCGAAGAATTTGCCAGAGTTGAATAGCTTTCACCAATATTTATCAATTTTATTTATTTATGAGTTTTGGATAAATCTTGAACTGTTTCTTTTAACGTGGTGACGGATGGAAAGACGGAAGGGTAGAAGGATGGAAGAATGGTAGAAAAGTAGGCGGACATGGTAAATACTACAAGCCCCAGTCATATTTGCTACATTAAATTAAATGATAAAAACATATTAAAGTGAAATTTTCCATCACTTTACGCTCTGACGTGTCAATAATCTTATCTTACTTACGTCGATAAAGAACATGTTCCATTCGTTTGACGTTGCATTAACACTGCTGATGTCATCGCTAACGAAATTTGAGACAAGGGAAGAAAACATGTCTGACTTCAAAGTGTTGAAATTCTAAAATATATATATATATATATATATCCAAAAAATGAAAAGAAATATCACAGTGTCCGGTAATTAATATGAAAATTAAAAATAACAAGGCAACAATGTTAGTAAAACGTAAGCGCTTTCATTATACTTCTTCAGACGTTTTGTAAAACGTCTGAAGAAGTATAATGAAAGCGCTTACGTTTTACTAACATTGTTGCCTTGTTATTTTTAATTTTCATATATATATATATATATATATATATATATATATATATATATATATATATATATATATATATATATATATATATATATATATATATATTTAAATGTTAAAATAAACAAAGAGGAATTACTCATTTTAAGAAATATTATCTTATGGTTTGAGCTTATAATAGAATGTAACTCAATAGAATCATAGCTACTTAATGAATGCATAATTATACAGCATGGTTCTCCATGGACCGTTTAACGAAGTGGCCCCGCAAAAGTTAAATTTCTTAGAGCCACATTTAAAAAATCAGCGCCAAAGTTCTGCCACATTAAAATATTAGCGCTACAGTAGGATCGTTCTCGATCAGGAATTAAGATAAATTGATAAATCTCCAACTACAAATAATAAACCTCCAAATTATCTAATTTTTTCAGTCTGTAATATGAAATCGTAAACTATTACTCTAGCCTAATAAGGACCAATAGTTTGGCTTGCGCAATAATTTATCTATTATACCTCGATGGACTGTACCCATGAATGAAAAGAGACGCGCAATTTTTTTCCCCACACTTTTCGATAATTGCATTATAATTTTTCTATACTTATTAATTACGTAGCTTTACTAAAGATAACCACGTCTCTAAAATTGCATGAGAACTGTGAGACAGAAATTGTATGTGTACCGAAATCATGTATCGATTCAATGTTAAATATTAATGATAGATCCATGCATTATACTAGTAATATATGACCCTAAAGTGCTAATGTGTTTTTAATTTACAAGTTTTAAGATACTTAAGTCAACTGAGACCAGTTATTGCAAATATATAGATGAAAGTTTAATTGTTTGACCTACCAGAAATTCCTCTATCCTTTAAGGGACACTGATTTGAATGATTTACCTTTTGTAAACAAAATTATTTAGAAAAAAATCAGGATTATATAAACACATAATATTTGTTATTACTAATCTATTCATTTCAGATTTCATATTTTTATTTTATTGATATGTACGTATGTAGGTGGGTTTTTTTTTTTTTTTTTTTTTTTGGGGGGGGGGGAGGGGGTGTCACAGTACACATGCGTATTGGAAGAATTATAATTCTTGCTTAACACTATGTTTAATCGATATCCATTGAATGTTTTTAATTACATTTATTTAAAATTTGTTTTTCAACTTGTCAAATTATTAATATTGTTTATGTATTAAACTATTGAAAGAGAGGAGATATGTGTTCTTTAATTTATTAAGTGGTTGAATATCAGCAATGCGCGTTAGCCTTGCACCAGATTCAGACTTAAATTGGATGTAGAATCCTGATGCCTGTATGATTGACAAAACATTTTGTATTGATTGGCTTTGTACTAATAGAACGTGATTTATCTTACCACAGGGGTATCCTTGTATCTGGTTTGATAGAGGTTGTTATAGTAGAAAGCTGTTGATATTGTCAATGATGCCATGACAACAAACACCTATATACAACAAACCATCATATCAATGTGAAATGCTGTAAAAACATTGTTTCTCAATTATTTCACCCACAAAAAGAAACAACAAAAATAAGTATTACATACACAGACAAATAAGATTGTGATTGGATATGATGGTGTGCTTGGGGTTGAAAAGACCATGAAACCACTCATGATAATAAGAAAAAGCATAATGAAAGCAAGAAACATAGAGGCTGCTAGTAGTAGTCTGAAGGCCCATTCTTTGACATCGTCATGATCACATGTTCCGAGTGAGGACACTTTTAATTTCGGCACTCTGTCGTACACTGTACATTGTTGGTTGTCGTAATTGTCCATTATCACTAAACATCTGTAGATCATAGGCGATGTACTTATCTAGAAAGAAAAAAAAAATCAAATCTTTATGCAATTATGAAGGAATAATAAATATCTATTATTATATAGAAATATTCTCTCTTTTAAATTTAACAAAAATTGGCAAGAGCATTAGTTTTATCTTCGAACAATTCACTCCCAATCCGTTGAATAATACCGTAACATATCCTCAGGAATCCCTTGAGAGGAGAAAAAGATTACCGTAACGATCAAACTGATAAACAGCAAAAGGAATGTCTTCATAAGGCTTTTGGCTGACATCTGAAATATTTTTAAAATTTGAAATTTCGAATCTTAGGATATGAATTCAAAGCATATATTACTTTAAAATTTTAAAAGAAGCTATACCGTCTTGATTTATTAGTATTCATCTTTTTATTTATGTCAATACAGATCCAAAAGTTACATTATCCTTTTTGACAAAAGTAGATCCTATCGGTTTTTTTTTTTTTTTTTTTTTTTTTTTTTTTTTTTTTTTTTTTGGAACGAGGTTTCAGATAGACCCACTTGTAAACTACTTAACAGAAAATGAAAGGCGTATAACCTTTTCTTAGTGGGGTCAGGGTATAACTTCTAAATGTGTCAAAAGACATTTCAGCGAGAACGTAAGTGGATCTTTTATCGGAAGAAAAAAAATTAGATACTGTAAAACTGGATAAAAATGGATATTTAAGCGGATCCTTTGGTTTTCCTAATAAGGAACAGCAAACAAAGTGAGCAAAGATTGACCAATGGTCAGAAGAATAATTGCTCTAACTACTTCTATAAATACATGACTGAACAGGCTCCGGAACAAAAAAAACAGAGGGTGAAAATACGAACTTTGTTGTACATACCTTCCAGACGTAGCTTTGAAAAAAGACTTCTTAAATCCGCGCCGTTTACACTCCGCATAAGCAGAGTGTTAACTGCGCGGATCTAAGAAGTCTGATTTTAATGAGATTGGCTTTGAAATCAGTAGAGAGCAATTGGTCAAAAGTGAGGAATTTAAATACATATCCAAATATCAACTTGTTAGCAAATATAACCTATCATTGGGTATTTTGGCTGAAGTGTTTCATACCATTTGTTAAGCCTTTGTTTTTGTACTAAATTTGACTACGGAATATTCCGTCTAACTGAACGATATTTAGGGCCCATGACGGGTGTAACCGGTCTACAGGGGAAACTTGCTCCTCCTAGGCACCCGAACCACCTCTGAAATTTTCGAGGAGGAGGGACAGGGTTCGTGATTTAGCCTATGCCATGTTCACAGATTTATATTGTTTGTAGATTTATTTTTTGATGACTTCTCACAGAGGTAACATTTAAGACATTTACTGTATAATATTGAAATTTCGTATTCTAATAAAGACTTCTCAGAAAAAAAATCTATCTCCCTGTTTGTAAGAATGGACAACCAAATTAGTAAGGCTAACGGAAGAGTTATCTGTCTATTTGACAGATCTTCTCCACTGAAATGTCCACATACTATTTTGAATTTCGCTAAAATTGTCCCATAAATCTATTCCTAGGCTAATTTGTCCACTCATTTTTCCCTAAAAATGAATTTGATAAAATGCCCAGCGCCTTTCTTGGCTCAGAGGGTATCTCGGACTATTACAAAGAATTTAAAAGGTGGAAACATCGCTATTTTGAAAAATTTTATTTACTAAATTGACAAAAAAAACTTTACAAATATTTTAGCACCAATACTGATTTCTGAATCAAAAAGGATAGGGTTCAACCCCTTGGCCTCCACCCGCTTCCTCAATACCCCTAAAGCTTTTTATTGATACACACAGGTTGTCAACAATTTTAATCTAAATCATTCTGAGTTATATCGCTTACTGTTATTGATGTTCAAAGACCGTAAAATTAACTGAGTGATTAATGTGTCTATAAAACGTAAGTATTCACGTCGGCTGCCGAAAAAGTCATCAATTTTTGCTTTGAAAACTACACTTTATGGGTAATAAATATTTTTCAATTTTGAATCTTGAAATCTAATTATACCCTTGATCAAGTCTTTGAAATTTTTCACAGCAGCACACTCCCATAATTAAATTTTCTTTCTTTTCTTCGACACATCCCTGAATCTTGAAAATTGTTAATTCATTTATCGGAATGTAAAACATGTTATCAACTTTAAACGGAATGAATGGATTATGATAGATCTCCAAATAATCATTTTAAAATGAAAATGTACGATATATATGAGATTGTGTCTACGTGGTTTAAACTTTGTGAATTTATAGAATGACATTTACACCAATCTAGTTATGAATCTTTTTTGTTTGCTCACTTGAATTGAAAACTCAAGTGACCTTTTCAGATCACATTTTGTTCAGCCTGCATTTTCCTTCCCACCATTCCGTCTGTCTGTCGGAAAACTTAAAAATAAATTAAATTCTAAAGAACCACTGGGCGAATTTCAGACAAACTTGCCACAAATTTACCGCAAATGGCAGAAAATTAATGTTAAATGAAGAGCCAAGCTCTTTTTCAAGGAGAAATAATTAAAACACAGTACATCCTTAGAGGCACCTTTTTCTGAAGAAGCATATGACCAAAAAAAAAAAAAAAATTCAAACTTCAGAAAATCTTCCTGACTAAGTGTTGATTCATTTTTTTGTTGATTCAATTTTATTTTTCAAATCATGACCCATTATTATAAACTGGGGCCACAAAGGAGGAAAAAGTAGGAAATAATCTTTAAAAGTCCTCTTTTAAAGAATATATTATTAAAATATTAAAATCTGATGTTGAAAAATAGGAAGGTCATGTTTAGTTATTTCAATATTGAGGCATCCTCTCGTAGTGTATATTCAAGTTTGTTTGAATCATGTAGGGTTGAGTCACAACAGGATATCAAAGATAAAATGGAAAGAACAACGGAGTCATGAATAGTCATATAAATATGGTAGCATCAGGTACAGTCCATTCATGTTTGTCAAAACTATGCCCCTTGGAAAAGTCTGGGGCTTCAATATGAAATCAACATTTTACTGGAGAATGCATAGGAGAAAATCTTTCAAATTTTTTTTATGAATAGCAGAAAGCCTATGATTAATTATATTACCATGCAAACATTCTCGTGTATTGCCGATTTAAGTTTGTTCCAATCATTGCCCCCGATGGTTGCTAACAGGTTGAGGAATCCTTGGAGATGAATTGGAGATCAATTTCAACATTGAATATAAAAGGGCAAATATTCCTAAGGTGTAATGTCCCTCTGATAAGAGAGATAACTTTCCAAGGAAATTATTCCAAACAATCCAATGAATTTTCTTACCAGAGTTTAATAATGAGGACCATTATATAGTCAATCAATCAAATTTGAAATGTGTTACAATGATTGCTTTCTATTTTTTCGCCAATATTTTCAATAGTTACTTATTATAATTTACCTGATACATTTGTACTCAGTTCCTTTAAGCTGTTAAAAATTGAGTTATTTATATCTCTTAATAAACAATTATTTTAATTGTTACAGGAATTTATCATGTAACATATGCAGAATTTTCATAATTAATTATTTGGTATTTTTTTCTTTAAAAATATATTGAAGAAAGATAACTTCTGTAGATGGAAAGATAACTCTTGTAGATGGTTGCATTTTCTGGTTTAAAAAGCAACTCTTCATTATGCTTTCTAATATGAATTAAATATGTATGGCAGAAAATATTATTTTCATATATACCTTATACTTTTGATTTCATGTTGAGGTAAAAAAATTATTGATCTTTCTATTCATTGTCTCAAATTTTCTTCATATCATGATTAGACATAAAATTCATTTCTGAAAAAGTAAGCAACGCTTCATACTATTTTCCATTTGAATCTACTAATAATGTTGTTGAAGAACAACCATGTTGGGATTTTATTTTAAAAAATGGTAAAATTTAAAGCATAAGGATATTAACCTTAAGCGAAGCAAGGCAATGATAGTGTTATTATAATGCAGAGATTTTTAATATAATGTAAATTTCATTTTTTTTTTTTTTTGCAATCATTGTGTACGTCCGGTTCAAAGAAAGAATCTTATGAAGAGTGTTTACGATCAAAGCACGGAAGTTAAGTTGTTTGTGCCGACTTGGTTATTTATTTGCCTATTTAAAAGCATTTAACCAACAAAAGGAGACAGAATCTCTGTTGTAAACAACTGAAAGCCGCAAACATGAATAATATTACGATCATATTTCATCATTTGCTTTGGAATTGGAAAGAAAAAGTTTTAAAAAATGTTAAAATTCCTCTTTTCGGGAACAAATTAAAAATATAAAAATTTGATAATAAAAAGTTGGAAGTCCATGATTAGTCATATCTTAGATATATAGGCACTCTCTTGAAGTTTATATTCAAATTTGTTCAAATAATGGCCCCGATGGGTTAAAATTATAGATCAAAGATAAAGATTGGAATATGTTGGGACCATCTATCCTTCTGTGTTCAAAAAATTAGAAGTGAAAAAAAGAATTAGATAGACTACACGATCAGTATTTACTGTCCCAGCTGACAAGCAGGTAACAACTTTTTCTTTGTAAGGTTCATTATTTCAATTGTATTTTAGAAGAACTGGGATTTAATTCTACAAGTGGCAATCCAACTTATACCCATAGCTCCCTTTCTAAGGAGGAAGTCCTTCAAAATCATATGTCAATTTTGAATATTTTAAATATTCCCAACAACCAACATGAATTTGAATTACCATTTTTATATTGAATTCCGAAACTTCATAAAAACCCTTAGAAACAAAGATACATAGCGGGTTCCAGTAAATGTTCTACAAAGCCTCTTTCGTTACTCCTCATTAAAATATTAATGGCAGTGAAGGAGAAACTTCCGGAGTGCTGTGCAACAATATATTCGAGAAGTGGAGTAAATCAAATGTGGATGCTTAAGAATTCATGGAACTTTTGGAAAATTTGAAATCACAAAATTTTACCAAAACCAATAAAATAAAAACTTAGGATTTTCAATTCTGTATGCAATCATTCCCAACGATAAATTAAAGTCCAGGCTTTTTTTATATCATTGATAGCTGCTTTTTCAATAAGAATGGAACTCGTAAATTTACTTACCTTGTCATTGGCCATTTGCAAAATTATTTTGTTAAAAACATTCTGACTGTACACACAAGTACTCAGGGGCCCGTTTCTCAAAAAGGCCTGCGACAAGGCGTAAGCTTAGTCCGGACTAAATCAGTGACTAAACCCGAAAATCGGACTAAGTTGCGTTTCACAAAAAGGCGGAGACTTAGTCGAGACTAAACTTAAGTT